TATGTGGGTGACAATCTGGCAGAATCAAACAGGGTGTCCCGCTTGATCCTGTGTCCCTTAAAGGGATGACCAAAAGCTGATTCAATGTCAGAGACTGCAGCTTCAACTACTGTTACTGGAACAATAAATGAAATCATAGTGCAGGTACCAGTCCAATCAGGAGGAAGAGTATTAAGTAATCTCTTACCACCACAGTACCAAAACACATCAGACCTGGCATAGGTCAGACGTGTCGCATTTTTCCATGTTGTAAGACTATGTGTGACATTACACCAATCAGGAGAAATATCCTAACACTATACTCTTTTTCTAGGCCTGCCATCCAGAATCGCCCTACCTTCAACAAGGATGTCATACTGTTACTCCATCCAGAATGGGGTGAAGTTTGCAAGCATAAAACCAGAAGAAGGCTTCATGAAACTGGCTACATTTTAAGCTCCTTTGAAATTAGGAAAATGTGGGATTACAAGACAGTCATTACAGAGATGAGAGATGCATTCAAGGACAAAATTCCTGAGGATGTCAGGTATTGTCAGAATATTGAGGCTACCCAGCATACTGTACAGTAGTTCAGGGATTCTTTTAGGGATGCACCGAAATGAAAATTCTTGGCCGAAACCAAAAACCGAAAAAGAGGAAACCAAGGCCGAAAACCAAAACACGGAAAAAAATTATGCCAATTATTAGTACCACCATTGCATTTATGGTCTGACTGTGTACTAACTTTACTAAAATCTCTAGTACTAAAATTCTAACTAAAATGTTTAACTTGACCCCACTCATGTGTACATTAAATAATAATGTACAGGCCTACTGGCCTGCTGAAAGGTTGCAAAATTAAATGTTCTCTCATAAAAACAAAGTGCATTTTAAATTTTCTCTTGTAGTAACAAGAAAGTGCATTCAGAACAAGTGCAACTGCTTAAAGATGCAATATTTTCTCTGTAGGCCTTCAACATAATAATGTATCAAAACAAATACTGCCATAGCCCATGTTAACTGTAGAACTTTAACAACAACAAATGCACCAAGAATTGCAGATGTGCAAAGTGGATAATAAATATAAGCTCATTTTACTTCTTGAGGTAAAGTGGCAGGTTTTTCTTGATGAACAGTAACTTCTCTGCTTTATTACAGTGAAGTCTGTTCCTCTTCTCATTGAGAACATGAGGTGCTGCACGACAGAGAATGGCTGATCATTTAAGGCAATGAATTCCATAATCTTTTGTGTAATGCCATTTGCCTTGACATCATCACTGGGAAACTTCCTTGCTTTTTCAAAAACGTCCGCCACAGACGGAGTGGGCGTGCTCGGAGGCATTTTCCTTTTCTGTGCCGCGTTCCTCTCATATTCAGCATAGCGATCAGAATGTTTGGATTTTAGGTGATAAACCCGACATGGAGAAAGTCTTTGCAGATACACCCCCTCTTGAAATTTCGCCATTACATGTTTTGCAAATCGCTGTCTGTGGGTCTTTCTCAGATATACTGAAATATGTCCACACAGCAGACATGTTACCTCAGACAAGCATGTGCAGGTCGCGGTTTGTTTGCGTCATCACAACACTTTGGCCGTATTGTTTCGGCGATAAAATTTTTATTTGCCCTTTTTTTTTCAGCATTTAACTTTTAATGCCTTGTGGAAACAAACTGGTGTGGCTTTATGATTCATAAAGTTTTCAAATCAAAGGTGGTATACATTAGGCCATCAAGCATTCTTCCAGTTCTGGTAAGCTCTTATTTATTTATTTATTTATTTTTATTTTGTTTGCCTGTTTGTTTTAATTCTTTTTTTTTGTTTGTTTGTTTTATTTTAGATTGACAGCACAGATTCAGAGGACAGCTGTGCAGAGTGTGAATCTACATCAAATTCCAGTCACCACATTGCCAATCAGACAAGTGACTATATGATTCCAAGGGCCAGGGGAAGCCAACTTGCATCAACACAACAGGTTTCCACTTGTCCATTTACAAGAAGGGCCAGAGCGAACCAGCCTGCTGCATCTCAGCAAGTGCCCCGTGATGGCATGCCTAGAGCGAACCAGCGTGCTGCATCCCAGCAATTGCCCCGTGACGCCACATCTACAGTGAACCAGCCTGCTGCATCCCAGCTAGCACCCCGTGACACCACGTCTACAGCAAACCAGCTCACTGCGCCCTGTGATATCACGTCTGCAGCGAACCAGCCCGCTGCATCCCAGCAAGCAATCTGTGATGTCACGTCTACAGCAAACCAGCCCTCTGCACCCCAGCAAGTGCCCCGTGATGCCATGTTTAGAGTGAACCAGCCTGCTGCATTCCAGGAGCTACCTGACATGGATGGTCTTACCACAGGGAACCAGACTCCATCAGCCAGTAATGATGACTATGCTGTCTACCTTTCCATCATGGGTTCCATCTCAGACCTTTCTTCCGATGATGAGGAATTAAACCAGGCTATAATGGCCATTCTTGAGAGTCATGGGTAAGTGACCATGTAGTATGACATCTTAAATTAATGCAGTAACTGCAGATATATCTGGTGTCATGAGAATCTGTTGAAACTTTTATTACAATATTCTCAAGCTATTGCTCAGCCATGACTACTGGAAGGAGAAATGCAAGTTTATATATTCAAAATAAGGGATGGCCTGATTGGGCACTGGGTCCAATACCACCCCCTATTACTTGTCCTCATTAAAATTGTCCGATGCTACAGATCGATGCCAATGCCGCTTTACTCAACATTACGTTAACCTTACACTGGTTGAGCAGGTTGTTAGGTGGTGAAGAGATTTCAGTGGGTTGGGGATATTTTAAGATAAGGAACAATGACAAAAAGTTGATTGCAAGCTCTGCTTCTCTGCTCTGTGACTGAGACTGGGAGGGAGAGGCACTCATGCACACACAGAAGACAAGTAGAGACTATAGGTGAATCCCTTATTTTATCATTCCTCGGTCCTTGGTCAACTCAGAAGTCAATCTGGTCTGCCATGATGAAACACATCCCGAAGCTCTTATTCCTGCTCTGAGGAGTAAGGAGGGTGCCTAGAGGAGCTCTAACTGAGGATATGTGAGTGTATCCTTTGCATAAGTTTGTTATAGATTGACAAGCCCCTTTATTGGAAATCAGTTTGTGATTGGATGGATAACGGTCAGAGGAAAAGATATGTCATGTCAGTTAAAACGTGTTTCCTCAGTTCCTTTCTACTCGCATCTGACTTCCTTCTTCCTTGTGGGACACGAGGAAAAAAATGCAAGTGAGGGAAACATGGATGCAGTTAGTGGAATTGGGATTCACCATGTATGCGAGTTAAATGGCAATACGTATTTGCAATAAAACCCCCCAGTAATGGGAGAGGTTACGAGCAGTTTATCAAACACCCGTTGAACAAGAAAAAAGAAAAAAACTTGCAGAAATGCGATCTTCAATCTCACCACAGTTAACTCATCTGGTTACCTGTCCACCCATTAAACTCATGCAGTGCTCAGTATGTTGATTGTAGTTAATTCATGTGAATTAAAATAAAACAAACACTAGATTTATGTACTGTCTTCATGAAACACATATGGACTGGTTGGGCAAACTCCCATGAACCCTCCGCATTACAAGATGAGTAATTAAAACATTTCAAAATGCAGCTGCTCAGCTGGGATTGGCTCCAGCCACGGCCCCGCCCCCTGCTCAGGATAAGGGGGAATGAATGGATGGATGGATAGATAATTCACCTGCATTGTTTTGTATTTTGAGGCTTTCAGTTGAATAAAAGCCTATTTTCCCAGTCACATATTTTGATTTCTTAAAAATTGGGTGTCGTGAACCCAGTACCGTGTACCATGTCCTGAGCTAAGTGCATGGTTACGCCCCTACCCTTAATCTGATCTTGCCTTAACATGTACGGGGCCGTGCAGGTGAATTGGAAGAAGAGGTTATGGTCTCCGGGCGTGCCTATGAGTTATGGTGCTAAGTGCGAGGCGTTTTGCCTGTTTGTACGTTACCACAGCTCATTGCCAGGTCTTTGTGCAGTGTGTTTACATCACCGCCCGCTCGGTCTATTGACGGTACAACACCCTGTATGCGTTTCTCCATCACCATTTATGAGGCCTGCTCGTTATGTGCTAGACAAAACACCATTCAGCCAGCATGTGGAATTATAACACATTAGTCCCGGGCCTACATATCTGGGTGGTTTCTCCTTTATGACAGACTGAGCTCAGCAGAGCAAACATTGACATAAGGGCATGAAACGCACTTGCACCAGTCGCACCCCGGAACAAGAAGCTGCCCTGACGCTCAAGCTAGCTGTTTTAGAGCTACATTAAATGGCCACACCATTTTATTAACATGTATATATCTGGTAGACACTGTTTCCCCCTGAGTGTTATATTTTCCCACCGATTGACTGATTCTTCAGACAATGTCGCTCCTGTAAATAGTGCGCTGACAACAGCGGAAGCCGACGAGCGATATACGTTAACAGAATGATTCACATTAATATCTCCGTGCTGTATAACGTCCTTACCCATTTCTGTGTTTATTGTCGTGTCTCTTCGGCCGTCTCACGGGTTGTAGGGGGATATTGTCCGTCATTCCCGCAGCCCCTGCAGAAGCCGTAGGCAGGCA